AAAAAAAGAAAAAAAAAAGAGGGAAAATTAAAACCATTATATGAAAAGTGGCTATGGTGTAGGCATGATATATAATTGCACATTTGCCACCTTATTGCAAGAACCCCCCCCACCCCCTTTGACATTTTTTAAAAAGTCAATGTGAAAATAAAGTAGTTTCATTATTTTTTCTTATGAAGATGCCAAAAACCATTAAAGCCCTAGAAGAAGGCCACTTGCCTTTCACAAATCTTGTGCATGAATGATTAACAAATCTTTGCACCAAATTGATAACTGGCAAAAAAATAATACCAAACAAATTTAATACTGTTGCCTCTCTCTCTCTCTCTCTCTCTCTCTCTCTCTCTCTCTCTCTCTCTCTCTCTCTCTCTCTCTCTCTCTCTCTCTCTCACCCTCCTCTTTGTCTCTCTAAATTCTTTATATATATACAAAGTGAACTCTTAGTCATAAAAAAATAAAACATATATATATATATATATAAAAAAAGTCAGCGCCTCTCTTGGGCCCTCTACAAAAACAAAAACAAAAAACTAAGCTTATTTGTGGCAACATTTTAGCCATAACTAGTGTCTCTCTCTCTCTCTCTCACACACACACACAATTTTTTTTTTTCTTTTTTCATTTATTTTTTTATAACAATGGACAATGATGACTGGGACCTCCATGCGGTGGTGAGGGGCTACGCCTCGGCCGCGGCCACCACCCCCGCCAGCCCTTCCACCGCCGTCGGCGGCGGCCCCGATTTTCCGAGCTTTTCGCCTCCGGCGCCCGACCAAGTCTCGTTCGACTTTCTCACGGGTGAAGTGGGCGCCCCTTTCCAGGGCTTGCAAGAAGCCTACCGAGAACTATGCGGCGACACGCCTCCACCGCCAGCTTCTCCCGCCGGCGCAGCCAGTGGGGTGTGGCCTCCGGCCGCCTATAATGTCTTTCAGCCGAGTCAAGAGGTTATGGAGATAAGATTGCCGCCACTCGTAATGAATAATGTGCAGATTCGTGAAAGTATACAGTTCGGTAAGCCGGGATTTATTGGTGGCTCGTCGGCTCATAATTTTCCGGCTACCAACATTAATCCTCATCCCATTCGGCAACGGAGAAGGTATTTTTCTTCTTCTTCTTCTTGCATTTTGTATTGGAAAAGAATTAAACTATTAAAGTAAAAAGAAATTTACATACGGTACCATACACGTTTTTTTTTCTATTGCTTTAATTTGCAGCACAATTTTATTTTTATAAAATGCGACTATGTCTAGTTCACAAATAATCATAATTTTCGAAGATGCTACGGTCTCATTACGGAACCATTCCGTCGAGGTGTGTAACCGTTAGATCATCATGTAACCGCCAGAGATTATTGATATGGTTCCGTAACGAGACCTTAGTATTTTTCTATAATTTGAACCTCGAGTACATTGACTATGTATGGAACTGCTTTTTTCGTATGATTTTGCGAGCAAGACGCGCGCGAGCTTGCAGATCATGAGTATTTGATAAAATGCAACTGAAAAATACATTTTTTTTTATTATTTTTTTTTTTTTATTTTTTTTTTTTTATCATACATTTGTATTTGAGGCTGCAAACTAATCATGGATATTCTGTAATAATATTGGTAAATAGCTAGCCTCATCGATCACAAAACGAAATATTGTCATTGTGTCTTGTGAAATAACATAATTATCGTTACGATCAGAAACCCGTTTATTGAAATAAAAAAATCGTGACTATATTTGAATTTGAAAAGTGAAAAAATATAAAAAAATTAATTTGATAATTGATGTTGGAATATTATTTTGACAGGAAAAACCAGCAAATGAAAGTAGTTCGCCAAATGACGCAAGAAGAACTGTCGGCTGACTCATGGGCATGGAGAAAATACGGTCAGAAGCCGATCAAAGGTTCTCCATTTCCAAGGTTGACCTTTTACTTATTCCTCGCATTAATTAATTATTATATTCACTATATCTATCTTTTTTTTTTTATTATTTATTTAGCATTTTTAGGTCAAATAATTTCATATATACTTTATCTTTGACTATTCAATTTGGGAGTCTTCTCTTATTATAATTGGTCGTTTCTATAATTTAATTATATTTAATTTTTTTAGAATTTGTCCTCTAATTTATTTTAATTTTTACTGGAAGCTACTATATTGCTGCACACGACTATAATAATGGGGTTCAAAACATCATGGAAAAAATATATTATTCCAAAATTTTGGACAAAAAAATTGCCTCATTAATAACAAGTTTTTTTTTTTTTCTCCGTTTTTCTTTATCCCCATTTTACCCTTTTGAAAACCAGAAACTACTACCGGTGCAGTACATCCAAAGGCTGCGCCGCCCGAAAACAGGTGGAGCGCAGCCCAAACGACCCCGGAATCTTCCTCGTCTCCTACACCGGCGAACACACCCACCCACGGCCGTCTCACCGGAGCTCCCTGGCTGGAAGCACCCGCATCAAGCTCTCGTCTCCGCCTTCCACTGCCGGGAAAGGCGACTACCGGCTCCTACGCGGCGGCGGCGGCGGCCACCAGCACAAGGGCCTGGTGAATATCTCCTCATCTTCCTCGTCTCATGCGGGCTTCTCGCCGGCCGATCCGGAGAATGATGACGTGGCAGGCAAGAAGGAGGCTGCCGCCGGCGGGGATGACGTAGATATTTTTATGACGAGCCCGTTGTGCGCGAACAACGACAACGTGTTCCAAGAATTTCGTGATTCAGACGAACACTCTAGCCGCGGCGGTGTTGGCAGGTTGGATCCGTTTTCCGGCAGTTTGCTGATGTCTCCGCCGTGGACGCCTACGAGCTCGGCCAGCTTTCACGGCGGCGGCTTGTGAGAGGTGGCCTCCTTTCAAAGAGTATATATCAAGTGTCAAATTAATTAATTTATCCATATATATATATTGATATAAATTGTGAATTTATACATAGAATATAATTAGGAGCTGTCTAGTTTAAAGTTTAAACCATGCAATACATTGTTGAGTGCTATAATCAAATGTAGACTGGCAAATAAATTATTTTTTTACACATCTCTTTGAGTTAAATAGTCCAAAGATTTCAAAAAGAGATGAGAGACGTAATAATAATAATTCATTTATAATATAATTTATTTTGAAAAACAATATAATATATTTTAATATAAATATTGTGGGATTGTTTATGACCTATAAACAATTTCGGTGAATAAAATTGAGATACGACTTAAGAGTATTGATTTGGGCAATTTGGATCCTCGTGTACAATAATTTTGATATGAATAAGAATATTACTGACAAATATATGTATAGGGTTGAGTTTACATGAGAATGATGCCTAGTAAAAGAATGAGAATAAATCGTAGTCCTTAGATCGGATGATCTAATAGCTAAGAAAAAGTTAAAATTATACCTTCGTTAAAAATAATATGTTATTTTTCAACACCAAAATAGTGGGACTCACGCCACCACACAACCACTTGCCCACTTACCTGCCACCTCAGCTCTCTCTCTCTCTCTCTCTCTCTCTC